TTTCCCTGTGGGCCATATCCTTTCACTAAAGGGCTCATATGTATGGTAGCTTTTGTGCTGTGCTTGTTTATAATCATGTCAGAGCCTAAACGTGGACCAGTCAGCTTTGCCAACATAATAAACTTGCCATTTGTTTTCTTAGCGAGATTATAGCTGTATGTGAAACAAAGGCTTTCATGCTATACGTGATTGCTGCTCAGCCCACGTGTTGAAATAAGGATTGTTCTATAGCATAGGAAGGAAGGCTCCTCTGTCTTGGCAAAACTTCATTTGCTGGAACTTGCAACTACTACTTCCTGCAGAATGTACAGTAACACACAGGGTGGATCTCTATTAACTTAGGGATGAAACAAAAGCACCCTTTCCTCTGCAGCAGCTAACACGTGTGGCTGCATGGCTTGCTCATAAAGGACGTTCCTTGTTGACACTGATATGTGCCATGCAGCCAGTTTATGCCTGTTTTTGTATTACAGTTTTTTTAAGGCACGGGGGGAGGGGTAGAAGTGAGTGAAGCATTGAGAACAGATATAAGGCATAATACTTCCTGTCATTGAGACTGACAGCAGGTAAGCTGTATGTATGCTTGTGCTGTAAGGAGTTCTGTCTTGTTTGACTTACGTCATGTCATAAAAAGGCAAAATTCAGTGTTTAGCACAGTTATAGTTAAGCCATTGAATTGATTCAGAAATTAATTTTGTGGTGCGGTCAGAGACTGGTCATAGTCTGGGAAAAATCTAACAGCGTATGGGTAGATCTTCAAAAAGACTGTTTGCATTTCAGTTCTCATAGGTCCGCAATAACTAAAATAAAATAAAATAAAATAAGTAATATAAAGCTCCTGAAAATTGGTGATTGTTATGTGAAGATAAAAACTAAGAACACAGATGACCACCATATAGTGTGCTGATTAGGCATGGTCATCTTGTCCTTTTCAAGTTTCTACACAACCTTTAGGTAGAAGCTGAGATATCACTATATGTATTTTGATGTGCTTTGCTAGGTTTTTCTTTCTAGTTTCAGATAGTAAAGAGTAGGTCATGATTGTGAGTATCACTGAAAAACTGGCAATGCACTCCTTATTCCTAGTGGTAGTTACCATTCACATTAAGGTTCCTCACATGACTTCCCATTGTACTGTGTGGTGGCTTTTAAATGGGCAAAAGAGAAGATGCAGATGTGGTCACATCTGGTGTGTTTTGTGGTGTTTTGGCATCAGGGGTCCAAGGAGAATTTAGGGTTGTGTACAGATGGATGCAGTGCAGCGGGGCGTGCAGCATCGCTAGGCAGAGGCAGCAGCTGAAGGGAAAGGAGGTTGCAAGTTCTGAGGAGGCTGGAGAGAAATCTGAGTTAAGAAAGGCTGTGGTAGGGTCAGTCAGCCACTGTGGTCTTGGGTTGAATCGTTTTAATAAATAAAACCCAAGCAATTTCTGTCGCTTTACATTTCAGTAGCCAAAAAGACCTGTTTAAACTGTTTTTATTGAAGCTGATTGATAAACAGGGACAGCAAAGCGAGCTTGTTTGCTGTATGGCCGGGGATCGCTGGCTGGGGGAGTGGGGAAGGAGGCTGAACCAGTCCATTCAAATCAGACTTGAGACTTCTCAGTTAATCCTGGTGATTTTCCTCATGCTTGGGCTTCTTTGGAGTATATATTTTTTTTTTTTTAGGTAGTGGTTTGGTTTTCTTTTGTTTGTTTGGGGGGTTGTTTGTTTGGTTTTTTCCTTCCTGCCCTCCAGCCTCTGTATAATTTCTGTTGCGTTTGGGGGTTTTAGAAGTTTTTTAATGTTTGTTTTGTTTTTGAGGGAAGAATATGGCCCCTTTTAGACCTGGTGAGTTCTTGTATGTGAGCTGAGAGGTGGCAGGGTGGGAGTGCTTCCTTTCCTCTGGGTTACCCAAATTGCTGCACTGCTGGCCATTACTGGTGTCATTAGTTTCCAATACAGAGTTAGATACGAATCATATGGGAACCTTAAAATAGTATGGATTTAACAATATCGTAATTTGAATTAAAACATCAGAGACTTAATTGTTACCAAAAAGTTTGTAACTTCATTTGGTGTTTAGCCAAATGATGGACAGTCTTAAGCTGATGGACTGAACTAAATTAGAAATGGTACTAGCTTATTTGAAATCCCTTCCATTCAACATCTGTATGGGTATCTTTAACTCTTCTTTTTAGGGAGTTGCAGGCTCAGTCTTCTGTAATGCTAAAACGTGACTGTTCCTGTACAGAAAGTGGTAGCAGTTGTGCTTGTTGTGCCACATCCTATGTTCTGCCTTTTTTGATTGTTTATGTGCATCTTCTTACCATTTTAGGAAAAGAACTGGGCAGGGTAGGATGGTTTGAGTTTGTGCTTGTGTACTGCTGAGTTACAGAATTAAAAGGTGTGTAATTGGCGTTGTAGCTGGGAGCAAAATAGCCACAAGCCACATGTTGAGCAGCGTGTGGCTATGGCTGGCCTTTTTCTCCAATGAGTACATCTCTACCAATGCCCCTTTTTGGATTGGTGGAGTTAATCAGTGGGCTTGATTTCCACCTTTGAGTGACACTTATGTACCTGGTCTGACAAGTTCAAAACCAATGAAAATAATCAGATTTGGGTTGGGTTTTTTTTCTGGATTTCATTAGCCCTTAGGTATTACCTGCAACTTAGGAGACCAGTAGTTGTGCTGAAGGAGAGTTTAGTTCTGGACTGCAGGATGAGAACTGGAAGCCAAGATTAGTTTATTGGCAGAGCTGTTTAAGGGAAGAAAAATCTACGCTTGCTCTCCCACCCATTGCAGTGATGCTGGTTCTTGCTTTTACAGGCAATCAGATTCAGTTACATGTGTTCTTCAAAGGATGGAGAACCATCTGCTGAAGTATTCTGAAAAGATTAATTTATTTGTAGCAGCAGTTCTACTTGCAAATACTGAGCGAGTGCATGGATTTTTTTGGGAGTCAAAATGCAAGACAGTTTTTGATGGAGAAATGGACTTAAGTGTCTTCATTTGAAAGGGATAATAAAATATGGACAAAATGGAGAGCTTCCCAGACACATTCTTGCCCAAATAAAAAGAGTTACGTATAATAAATAATGTAAAGCTTTTAGAAACTGGATTTTTTTTCTTCCATCGAATGCAGAATACACAGTTGTTTCGGTATGGTATGATCAGAGAATAACTGGTTACCAAATACATGCTGCTAGGTAGTTAACGTGGATACCTGTGTTCAGAAATGTGTGGGTACATTGATGGGCATGAAAGACCAAAAATACAGTTTCCAGCTCTAGCTGCCTGCTCATAGCAAGAGGAAGAAGATAGGGTTCTGTGGGACCAAACCCTGTGACTTCTCATTTGGGTAATCTGCGAATGTGGTCATTCTCAATTCCTTGTGGGTTTTATCTTTCACAGGGGAGATTTAAGATAGTGCAGCTTGCAAGGTGGTTGGGTGTTGGTTGGGTGTTGCTGCTTTATTTTTAATTATTTTTTTATTGAAGTCTTTCCTACAGAGAAGACCCATTAATTCAGCCAAATCGGACTTTAAGTGTACTTGACGTCTCTTTTTAATTATGGTTCTTAGTTTTTCAGTGTGACTTGTTAAATAAACTGACAGCTGTCATTACAGAAGAAATCTGTGACTCCATGTAGAATGTTTGTATCAGATGAGGTAGTCTCTGCTGTCATTTGCTCATAGTTGGAGCTCAAACCTAGTTTAAGATTTATTTTTTTAAAGAAGATGCAGATACGTAAGGTCAGAAGAAAGCGCCAGTAATAAGAAAGGAAATTGGAAGAAGAATCCTCAAAGAGGATTCAGCTGAGTATATTCATTTGGAAAAGAAACCACTATTGTCTACAGCTACATAAAGCAATTCGTATGTATTTAAAAAAAAAACCAAAAGGGAAGGACGCAACTAATCTCATTAGCTGGTCAGAGCAGAACAAGAAGGATAATGCTCCTAAGCACATTAACTATTTTACAGATATATTTAAGCTACAAAAATAAAAAGAGAGAAGATGACTTCTAGGAGAAAATTCTGGAGTCTCCTGCTGTTCACAGCAGAAGGTTGAGTCTGGCCTTCAAAGTACCATAAAATACCTGGGCTTCAGTGTTCAGACCTCTGATGATTCAGTCGTGAAGAAATGTGGTAGGGTACACAGCATGTGAAGGAGTCACTTGAAAATTCAAAGCTGCTCTGAAACAATTTGGATGTTTTTAAAAGCTTGTTTTTGTAAATCAATTACTTACATCTAAAAGGCGGTATCATGGCGTTACTTGATTATAATTAGTCATAATAACAGCCCCTGAATCTGGTGTCCTTTCACTATGGAGGAACATAAACAATAAGAAGTAAACTGTGGTAACGGTGAATAATTCCAAAGAGAAGCTACCACTATCATTTAAAGTGTTAACTTGTAGAATAATTGAAGATGGCAAAGGAAATATCTGAAAATGAGTTGAAGTTGCGGAACTCTTACGATTTTTGATGGCTTTAAAATGTGTTTAAACACTGTACAGAGATTCTAAGTGCGCTGGAAGATGCTCTAAAACATTTTTTAATGGATTTCATCACTTGAAAAAACTCGAGCATTTAGGCTGTCAATTTTGTATTGGATGGTTTTAATATAATTTGATGTGGAGGCTAAAACCTGAAGAGCCTGTTTGTGATAATCTCCAGCTGTGTTTAGTAGTAATGTAGTGTGGCAGATTTGCTTGTGCATGAATGTGAATATAAGCATATTGTATTTTTTTTAATCTTCCCCTAGTATAGGTAATAAATTATATTCAATAGCTGTGGATCAGTCAAGTTAAATTTGTTTTGAATTAGATAAATATTACATCAATCATCTTAATAAGGAAACAATACTGTCTCTTGCTATGAAAGTATGCGTGTTCAGTAGGTGAGGGATGTCTTAAAACTAATTAAATAATCTGAATTTTTAGTTGATGCCAAGTTGGGAACAGCTGTAGATGCTTTAAAGGGCATGCTCAGAATTGAAAATGATCTTGATAAATTTGAGAAACAGGACAGGCAGACTTGTTTTGTCAAATCACGAGTTACAGATGTCTGAAAAGTGATGGCATTGTAAAAGCAGTGAACTATTTTGGGGGCTATATCAAGAGAGGTATTTGTCTTCATACCTGGAGAGGAAATTTCTTACCTAAATGCTGGTGAAGCCTCAGCTGGGCGTAGCATTTTAAGAGAGGTATAAAGAAACTGAATAGCATTGAAATGAAAGGAACAAGAATAACTTGGTCTTGAAGGAAGAGAAGGAAAGAAGGCAAAGTCTGGTGCCTTTAAGGACTGCCTACAGAAAACAGTAGGTTATTCTCCCAGCAGTTTACCTTTCAGAGTTGCTGTATTAGCATTTCCTACGAGGAGGGTCCCAGTGAGGACCCAGCCCTGGTGCTGACAAGGCTGGGCTGTCCAGGATTACGTGGGCTCTCAAGGTCACGCCTTGACCTTGCACTTTGGAAAACCTGAGCTCTGTATTTCTAAGGCTCTTTGACTTTTATAGAGCATAACTGTAATTATGTACAAAAAAAGTTTTAGCCCTTTGGGAGCCTGTGCAAACCACTCCCAAGTTATATTGTTCAGTACAGTGGTACTGCATGTTCACTGATGGCATTCCAGGGATGCTCTGGGGTATGGTTCCCGCCTGAAGAGAAGCACAGAGAGAACAGAATGAATCCTGTCTTATAAATAATACGTGAAATCACCTGGTTGAGTTTTTTCCAGGGTATTTGTAACCAATACTATGCTATCTAAATGTTAATAGATTTTTCTTCTTCCTGTTAGCTGCGTGTTGGTACTGAAAATTTTGACGTGATTTGGGACTGTAGAGTGAGATAAGCCTGAAGATGGTGAATCCAAATAATTGTTATTGGGAAGAAATGGTGGAAAATGTAAAAAAAAAACCCCAACAAACCAACCAGAAAATGAACAGCCAAACAAACCCTGAGCAGCCAAACAAACCAACCAAACACACATCCCCAAAACAAGCAAAACCTCCTCCACTTTTGGAAGTTGACTTTGAATAGCAATCACAGTCAACTATTCAGTGTGGAAACTTAGTTTCCTTCTAGAGGTGAACCAGCTGTGAAGATTGCTGGAATAGTTTTGACACAATTGATAAGAAAATAATAAAAAAATGCAATAAACAGAAATCTTTCCAGTATATTTTGTCTCATGTAGTCAGTGCTGTACTGCAGGTGCCAGAAAATAGCTGAAGAATTTTCTTCCATGCACAAGGTTAAATCTGACTCTCTTGTATAACTGCATTTTTTAATGTTTTAAAGTCTTAGCATGAACATTGATAAAAACCATGCATGTAAAGAGATGCATGCTCCTTGGTTTGAAGGGTAAGAACTAAAAGCTGCCGTTGCCTTGCTATTCCCCTCTTCTCCTGAATGCAGATCAAATGATCCTTTATTCAGCCATTCACCAGTGTAAGCCACTTACATATTTTTTTCCTGGCTGATCCCTTTTTCTTCATTCCTTCTCTGTGTAGAAAATGTACAGCTTTAGTTAGCCTAGGTAGATTAAATTGTACTCTTTGTACATTACCTTTATATAAGTAATGTGAAGTACACTTCTTTATGGCGAGGCATGCTGTGCTGAACTCTGTTTCCACCGAGTTGCTAGGCTAGTGCTTACTGTGTATTGTCTTAGTTGCAAAAAGTACTAGGAAGATTTGAAATGCATTGTGTTTGCCTAGGATTATTTTTATTTTAGGCTTCTTCCGGAGCTATAGTCCGTCAAAGGGCAGGGGATCAGATCAGGTTGAAAGGATAATGTTTTCTCCAATTCTGAATTCTCTGTTTGTCCTTTGAATTAGAAGAAAGTTTTTTGCAATGGCTTGTGGGACTTTCACTGGAGGATGCTAATTAACTCTAATGGATCTTATCTAGCCAAATCTCTGTGCATTGGTTTGCAGAGATTCTTTTTTAAGTAAAACTTGCAGCAGTTTGTCTGCAAATGCTTCGATATTCCTGTCATTGTTCCAACACTTCTGTATGCCTAGATTACTTCTGATATTAGTTAATTTGCACAGATGTCTGCTTTTTACACAAACTGGTACGCTGAGTTTACAATTATCCTGATAATGCCTGATGGACAACTGAGCTTGGCTCAGAATGGCTGTCAGGAACCAGGGCAGATTCGACATTAAACTTTGTCAGATACAGAAACAGTTTCAAAAACTGCATCCAAATATGTTCTGTGAAGTCTTACCTGAAGAGTGACTCTTATACAAATATTGGGCTGACTCTCCACAAATATTTTTATTGTTAAGTCCTGTACAGATACTTCATGTATTTTAAGTATCAGAAAAGTACAACTGCATTTTCAGTGTGGTCATAAAGTGGCAATGAACGGCAGGAGCACTACTATTGGTTACTGGTATGGGAGTACCTGGCACAGAGGTGAATGCTTTTACTGTAGTTAACCCATCAGTTCAAATTTGTATTCTTTAAGACTATCTCCAAGGTGCTGATCCTTCCTGTGAGAGTCAGCAGGTTCAAGAACAATCCTGGAGTGTCTCTGGTATGGGAAAAAAACGTTGCTCTCTTTGAGGGGGTCTGCAGACTCTTACCTTCACAGCAAACGTTGTTGTACTCACCTGTCACCTTGCAATTGCATGCTCCTCATCTTTTTATTTAGCATAAAATACTGCTTTGTACATACATAAAATACGATGTCTGAGAGAGCATCTCCTTTTACTTTTGATAGAGAACTTCTGGAAACTGTTGAATTACAAATCTGAGGTGAGAGCCCGCGTTCAGGCCAGAGTCCACAGCATTTCGTCCTGTTACCCTTTGCACATAGTTCATGTGACTGCTGTGTTCGTTAATTTACTATGGGCTGGTTATGTAACCTTGCTTCATTAAACCTCTTGAAGTTCAGACAACACAAACTTAATAACTTCTTCTTTTTGGTTATTGTGAATTATAAATCGATTTTTTATTATAAATCTTTTTCTCCTAGTCCCATGAGGGTAGGAACCTGAAATCTACTTGTACGGTAGAGGCCAAAAAAAAGATGTAGCCTAGATATTATGGTAACTGATACTAAAGGTTAATAAAACACTCCCTAAACCCAAAGAGTGTTTTTCCTGCAGTAGGTAAATACGGGCAACTTTAATATGGCTTAAAATGAAAGTGAAGGGAGAGCGCTAGGAAAGAGAGTGTTCTCCTAAGCAGGAGCGAGGCGTTAAACTGAAAGAAATGAGAAAAGGGGTGTGTGTCTGGGGGGGAAAGCCAACTGTTTATAGATTTTGTGTTTTTGTAACCATTGTCTTCTCGTTTATTGAGTTGTATTTAAAATGAGTAATTTATTCTGGCTTCTCACACAATCTAATTATGCTAGTTAAAGCACTTGCTTTGAAATGTGCTTGAGATAACACAGTTGCTTTGAGTTACAAGAGATAGAATGAATGTTAATTCACTGAAAGCAGCTGACTTAAATTTATTTCACTTAAAAGGAGCTACTGTTGAGCCCTCTTGCAGAAGTACCTGTTTATTGCTAATGCTTGGTGCTTTTATCCTCAGTTTGCATGAACGCTGAGTAAGGAGAACTTTCTGTGCTTTGCCTTCAACAGTTTTCTTGGAACTGAAAGTAATAGCCAAAGAACAAGTGCTAGATATGAGATTTGCAGCCAAATATTGTAAAATTCTAAATCTTCTTTATCGTGGGCTCTTATTTCCCACAATGTTATCAAATATTCTGCTGCATTTACAACATGAAAACAGGACAAAGTGCAATGTTCTGGAGCAGTCAAAAATCAAGTCGTGATTTCAATAGATTGAACTCTGTGTTGAGTACCTAATTAACAAAGTTTTGATTTGAGTAAAACATTCAATGCCTAAGGAACTTTATTCATTTTGCAGTCAGGAGGATCTTACAAATATTAAATATCTTTGCAGGAACACTTAGTCAGTCTGGATGAGCCAGCCTCGGAAGCTGGACAAGAAGCTCTGCTTAGACAAGAGCAAGCAAAAATCATTCGTTTTGAAAGGCAAGCGGAAGAGTTCCTCAATGCAGTCTTTTACAGAAAAGGTTGGTTTTGATGGAGGGGGGATGTGGTATCTCTTGCTGGTCTTTTTGCATGCAACGCAGCTATCAAAGATCTGGTGTTCAAGTTGTCATTGTATGTTCAGTATTTTCCAGTTGTCTTTTTGTACATACACATATATATATATATATATATTATGTGTGTGTGTATGTATATAAATATACACACACACAGGTATTTATCAAGAGTAAAAATTGACTCTCAAATAAGATAGCAATACAACAGTGTAGCCTTGGGACAGAAGAGAGTGTAACATATTTAACCATAAAACAAATCCCTCCATGAGAATGCTGGTGTTTTGCATTTTTTGAGGAATGACTCAGTTCTTACCCAGCAGAACTGCTCCCCTGAAACCAGTGTTTAGGTGAGTGGCCTTTTTGGGGAAGAGGCAAGTGGCAGCGGTGATGGTAGTAGCTGGGTAATTTTTTATTGATGTATTTTAATGTGTACTAATGCAGCCCTTCTTAAAGGTCAGCAGTCTTCTCACTAAGGTCTGTAGTGATTACCCGCCCCCAGCAATCCACGATATAGTATACTGCTGGAGTAGTGCTAAGGGGGATATATGGAGAATTCAAAATGTGAGCAGCAAAAGAAGTGGAAAATCAGTGCTGTCTAATATGCTGAGAACAATAACAGTCGCTCAGTGCTAGAAAATCCCCTCAGTATCTTCTGGAGAGTTATGTCAGTTAAACTGTGCTCTTAGGAAAGGCACAAAACTAATTTCACTGTTTTGTACCAATCTGAGAAATGGGAATCCAGAGGTTGCTTCCAAATGCATCCTGAATAAGTACGTTGTACTTATCAGTCTAACCCATGTGTGAGAAAATCTGCCAAATCAGTAATTCCAACCTGTCTGCTGGGGCACAATGAGAGGCTTCAGTTTAACAAATTAGAAATTGCTGTAGCCAGTCCTCTGCCCTGCCTCCCAGTCACCAAAATATTTAAAGGTGTTTTAAGTAGATAACAGTATCTTAGCCTGTCTTTTATGAATCAAATGAATAAATACAAACTATACATTATGATGTATTGCATAAAGTATAGAAGCACGTAGGAAGGATAGTTATTGCATTACTGTTGATAGTTCAGATACTGCTTTTATTTCAAGTCTTTTCAGTGGTTTGTGGGGTTTGTTTTGTTTTGTTTTTTTTTCTATTAAGTTTAATGTTTCCTTTTACTTTTAAATTTATCCCATATCTCTTTAAATCCAGAAGGGATTTAAGAAAATAAAAATCTAGAGAAAATATACTTTTTCCATTTTACTTTTCTGGTGAGAGAAAAAAATGCACTTCCATCACTTCCAAATTATTTATTAAAGACTTCATCCCTTTAACATTGAGCTGAAATTTTAATGCGTGACCTGTATGCATGCTTTATTAGAAATGCATGCTTTCCTAATTGTTGGAAAACTATTGGCAGATACTGCAGTGTGCTAATGCAGGGTTTAACACTCTGTTTGTGGTCAGGTGCACAGAAAGAAGATGATGAAATCACTTCAGATGTCTTAAGAATCTTTGAGACTTTTTTTTTTTAATATACTCTCGTGTTCCTTCCTGTGGCAAAGCTGTGCTTGGTGCAAGAGTAATAAGGGAGGGTAAGGAGCCTGGCAGGAAGTCAGTTCTGAATCCTTAATGCACTGCTGTCAAGCTGGGCTGTATTTAGGTTGCTTGAAAGGTTATCCTAACTCATGCTGTTGCCACAGGATCCCCAGGCAGTGTCATACCAAAGAAGACACAAAAAATGGCAGAACTCTGGCACTCCTGCGTTGTCAGAGATGCTGTGCTCTCCTGGCTTCATGCCATCAGTTAGTTTTGGGTTTTTTTTCTTTCCATCCTCACCACCAAGTAACATTTGAGACTGGTGTTTGGTAGCCCAGGCAGGTCGGAGGAGATGCAGATGTTCTGTGAGCAGGTGCCTGTCACATGTCAAGGACGTTCACTCATGTACTTAGCATCCAGAGGTAGTTAGCAAGATCCCCAAACTTTCCAAACAGGTTTACTGGCCACCAATCTTACGTACTTTCCCTCTGCTTTGTGCCCGTGACACTCTAACTCGGTAATGCTTCTTTCAGATACTCCCTGGTTGTCCATTACTTTTACCTTGTGGCAGGATAGGACCTGCCTTTTGATGGTTTCATGAAATCATACCTTTTCTTGTTTGATACTGCCCTTATAACATTTCAGTGTAGATAAAATACACAAAAGCTATTAAGGTTTTAAAGTCCAGAGGCACTGCTTTAGACTATTTATAGCTGATAAATATTTGCTGTTTTTCTTCTCTGAGAATGTCTGTGTTTTAGTTAATTGTAGTTTGTTTTGTTTTTTTCAAAAAACTTAGACATGTGGAGTCAAAATAAACATCTGGTTGATTTCAAGTGATGCTGCAGAGGCACCAGCAAATATTTTCCACTGGCCTTTGAACAGCTTTTAATCCTTAGCATTCAGGCTTTATATTAAGCAAGAAGCCTTTAATATGCTAGGTAACTGCCTTCTGCTTGAAAATTGAGTTTTGTGTCCTTAATTAGTGAGTTTATCTTGAGCAGCACTAGAAGGTGTCACTCTGCTAATTCTTTGAAGTTGCATGGCTGTAGGCATATGCAGTATTTTCTGTCTGAATTTGGAAATATGCTCAGCTGTAAGCATTACTGAATTATACATATGAGCATGGGTGCTGAGTAAAGGCACGGTTCTTCTTCAGCAAACATAGGTGCTGTGA